CAATCCACAGACTCTGTAGCACGCGGCAACCTTACTGCAAGAGTCTTAAATCCTGGAAAGGAGGACTGCGTTACGCGTTTATTCTTATCGCATCCCGTAAAACCAATACAACACAGCCCACATCTTGAAGCCGGATTTTCCACTCAGAAGGCAAGAGAATGCAAAAAGACTTCTTATACCAGTGGTGCTTGAAGTATATAATGTTCAGGCGATCATTATAATAATAACAGTGATAGCAAATATACATTTACGTGGTAAGTGGTTATGCGATCTCGGTAGTCAATTATCATGAGCAGAATGTGTACACTGGCAGTGGTAGATAGCTAAACAGTAACTATGTTGTCTCATAAAAATAACCTAATACTGAATTTGGTTTTGGAATAAATTGCAAAACTACCATTAAAATATGCATAATCAAAACAAACTCTAACTCCACCGACTTTAGAAAGGTCTTTGATGAAGCAGAGTTCAATGTGAAGTAATTTGAATGCCAAGTCAATACTACAGAGTGTCTTAATTCTTTATCAAACTCATTGAATCACAGCTGTATGTCAACGCCAGGTGTCAAGTGATCCAGAACGGAAAACTTGACACATGGTGCCTTTGAAGTAAAGACAGGAATGTAAGACAAGGCTGTCTACTATCAGCAGTGGTATTCCTAATTTCGGTGAACTGAATCGTGCGTCAAAACTTAGGTTGAGAGAAGAAGAAGACGCTAGAAGATCTGGATTTCGTACAGATGATTTATGCTTAATGTCACACAAAGTCAAGGATCTACAGGCGGAAACCAACAAACTGGCTGAAGAATTAGAGAACACAGGACCCTAAGTAGGCATAGAGAAGATGGAGGTGTTGGAGATAACCAGGCAACAGTAACATCTTTGGGATAAATTTGAAAGATATCACTTTTTTCACTTGTTTAGGAGGTATCGTCTCAGCTGTGAGTCGAACGAATGAAGATTCAAATGCCGTAGTCAGAATGTCAAGGCACACTATCCCTCTGAAATTATCTTGGAAATTTACTTCACTCACTAGCATAGAGAAAAAGATTAGAATTTTCAGCATCAATGTCATTTTGATTCTTCTAACTGTTGTTTCACAAAGTTGACGTGAGCATTTCCAACAGGCTACTACGGCAGACTTTCACCAACAGCCGCCTTCCCTTCGCAGATAGACGAAATCAGATAGTCGACTGTCCATGTGTTATTTGACACTCACCAGTCAACAAGGTGAATCTGCGTACCTCCTGAGATTCGAACCCGTGTCACACAGTGCTGCAGTTAGTGATATTACTACTGATCTATTCGGGCTAGCGCGACAGAACTCCTGTAGGACTTTATTGGCTACCTGGATTAGACAACAGTTAGCTACAAATGTAATGTGCCTAGTCCTTTCTTCAGTACAGGCTGAGTTCTATCAGTCGAGTTTGTACTGTGGCCACCATAAAAAGTAGCTCACCATCATGATACACTTTGAATCGTTGATACTGGTTGATTGGAGGCAATCGGCCCGAAACCTTGAACCTAGGTTTCGTCAGTCTCCACCAAACATAGGACCACACACACTTTTCACTCATTTTTAACTAGTTTCCAATCTAAGTACAATTTGACTATGCCTTACTCAAATATTTTTTGAAATATTTTAATTATATAAACAATACTCCAAATAGATTGTTTTTGTTCTTGTGGTATATATACACGCATACAATTAGTTGTGCAGCTAAGCGAATGAATTAGTTATCGTCGACAAAAGGGACTCTTCTCACTCTTTTACTGCTCCCGTGTTTGAATGGATAGCATTTTTTGCCTTCAAAATAAGAAAACTATCTTGGGATGCTTAGTTGTCAAATTAAGTTGTATTATCAACTATGAGTGGGGAAGCATGCATAAACGTCCGAACATAACATAAAATATCATGTGGAGTTGTCGAAATTTGGAGTCCATGGGGGTAATAGGCATTTAATTTGTTTAAAGTCTAATCACAGATTGATGTCATTTAGAGACCCAATCAGATTTACAGTCAGTTGTGTTCTCAAAAACGTATTACGTAAGGTGTGAAGTGTCGGTGGCATAGCGGTTAGGACGCTCGCCAATCACGCACATGGTCCGAGGTTCGATCCCTGGCCACGGATTCATTCCTTTACCTCGCTAAGCTAGAAATAATCCTGGTAATGAGGAAAGGTTTGGTATGAGGCTAGAAACCCCATCCTGTAAAATAAACACTGCTACAGAAACTTCAAACCTCTAGCTTGAGGGCCTATGTTCCACTGGGAATGTGAAGGGAAAAAAAGGTGTGAAGTGTAATCTAGGGTGGAATAATTCAGTGGAGCTAAGAGAAAGGGATGGAAACTGGAATAAGATAAAACGTGTACTGAAAGTGACTGCCAGTAATAATAGCTTTGTTACAAACATTATTTTTGGTACGAATACGTAATTTGCAGCATATAGTACAGTATTGCATCTAAGTTTCTCATCACAGGGGTCACTAATTATAACAGAGCATTTACACTGATTATATTGTACAATACGAAACTGAATATAAAATTAAATGAGATGAAAATACTAACAGCAATACAGCACTGAAAAAGTGGGTCTATATGCTTAGAGTTCAACGGTAAGTTGCTAACTTCCCGCCTTACACATTTCCCTCATCACATTAAGTGCCTACCAGTTAAATAAGGTACCGCTGAGTTTCTATACTTGGTCACCCAAGCGAACAGATGTCTATATCCGCTTCCAACTCCACCTAGTGAAGTGAGGCAAAGAGAAAGTTGTGTATAGAGAGTGGATGCTCATAATCGGACAAGACAATATTCACTAATTTTGTACATGAGTTTATTTGTCCACTGTCTATAAGAGCAATAACAGGTTGTTTTAACAACACCTCACTAGCTCAATTAAATGATTTTAGTGCCTTCAGAGTATAATGGGTTTTTTTTCTTAGGAAGCCCAGAAAAGATTAAGTAGCGGGAAAGCAATGGAGAAGGGCAAGTAGAAAACAACAGTTAACAATCTGTAGACGTAGACATTGACTGAGTGACGCTACATTGTCTTCACTTGCTTACATCGAATTTTAATCAAAATATGTTTGTAGAAACTAACATGATGTAGAGAGACCAAGAAAGATCAGAGGAATGGCATAGTTCAAATTATTCGAATTAGTTTCAACTTCATTGCCATAAATAATACTAGAATCACGTGAACAAACCAATTCATTTTAATCTCTCTTTTGTCTCGAAGGACTAATCTGAGCACCAGACGGCCGTTCTGCTGTTTTTCAAGGGCTGACCTCTTTGTATGATTCGGCTCAGAGGGACAGATGAATCAACCAGTTCAGACCACGCGGATCCTTACTAGCTAGCCACTTAGGCGAATTGGCAACAAGTCATCGAAGTCGCCATTTCCCAGTTTATAAGCACGCAGTTCAAGATGGAGAAATTCCTCCACAATCAACATCCTTTAGAAACGAAAATTATTATTCAGACCACGGAGACACACAATATATCATCTGTATGATACGGTTTAAATGGTAGTTTCCATCAAAGTAATAAATGACACCATAATCCTCAGGCATCGTCGAAGCGCCCGTGAAGCAGGCGACGCCGACCAAATTAATACTAGAAAGCGAATTGTGAAAATTCCCATCAGGACATTAGAAAGAGAGAAGGGAACAAAAATTTCAGTAAACATATCTGTCTTTTCGGCTGTTTCATTCTCATAAACATCTGTGCGAACACACTTTTACGCACAAAAGTTTAGACAGGTACAATAATTATTTAAGTGCATATAATAACGAAGAAGAGACGAAAGGCAATCTATGAAACTTGACTTCAAGGGATTATCAGCTAGTGGCCTACATACAGAAGAGAGGGGAATCCCTCTAGTGCCGGCAAAAAGAAGAGCTTTCCTTCAACAACACTGAGAGTGTGATTCTCTAGCTGCCCACCGCTTTTAAGCAATTTCAAGGAGTATCATGTGTGTGGAATGAGAAAACAAGAATACGTTAGAAAGTTTAGAAGAACCCAGGAGATCTGGATTTTGCACAGATGATTTATGTCTAATACCATACAAACTCGAAGATCTACAGGTGAAAACCAATAAACCGGCTGAAAATGCAGAGAACACAGAACTTCAGGTGAACATATCGAAGATGAAAGTGATGAAAATAACCAATCAACGAGAAGTAAAAGCCAACACCAATCACCAGCATTGGGATAAATTTGAAAGATGTCACTTTTTTCACTTGTCTAGGAAGCATCGTTTAAACAGCAGGTGGAACGAATGAAGATGCCAAGGCAAACACCCTCATCGCTCTTAAATCAGTTTCGAAATCTTTTCCGCTCACTTTAAAGAACAATATTCAGATTTTAAACACCAACGTTAATTCAATGAGCTCTTCTATGTATGTCAAAAATGTGGCTATCGTGTTTTTTCTTTTACGTTCCCCAGTGGAACACAGGCTCTCAAGCTAATGGCTTGAAGTTTCTGTAGCAGTGCTTATTTTACAGAATGGGCTTTCTAGCCTCATGCCCAACCTTTCCTCATTACCAGGATTATTTCTGGCTTAGTGAGGTAAAGGAGTGCGTTGGCAGCCGGGGATCGAACCCCGGACCATATGCATGGTCGGCGAGCATCCTAACTGCTGTGCCACCGACGCACTATCGTGTAGCAAAATACATTTCTAATAGCCAGCTGCGGACGTTTACGAGAAGCTGGCTTCACTAGCGTCATATTAAAAAGAAGATGGTGAGAAAGAATTAGGAACAGGAAACTATGGGGCAATCGTAAGGCTAGTCAGCTAAGGAGGACAGCAGAAATTAAAACAAAGTGGAGATATACTCTGGTTAAAGCCCTGTTTTCCGCTTGGAACCCATGGGAACAATAACAAATGTAAACTTATGTATATCAGGTGCGACTATACAGTTCCGTTTTGAAATTGAAGTCGCCGACAATGAAAAAAAACAATTGTCAAAAAAGAGAAATGAAGTACGTCAAACTCACCTCCTCCATTTTTATAACATAAATATGGAAACCTCCAAACATTCCCCAACCCAATAGAGAATCCCATACAAGCGATAAGAAAATCAATTCTCCCCTTCCACTGATCCCTTTTTATCAGTTGTTGCTTTTTAACATTTTGACCTGAAGACTCCTTGTCGACGATCTCTTTATTCGAATATACATAACGATCGCAAGAATGAGGATGCTGGGGATGATGATTGTTGATCGAAAGATATTCCTCTGAAGACATTTTGATTATCTCAGAGACAGACGGCGAGAAAGTGTGTGCGTGTGTGTGCATATATAAGAGTGGAAATGAGTGGTATTTGTGTTTGGGTCGGTGAGTACTTGGATGTATATATGCTCTGATCCGCAGATCTTCTTATACCGTGCTGTAATGACTTGAAGGGAGAAGATAATGACTTTCTACAGCAGAGTAAAATGGCGAAAATTGTCTCTCTCCGAAGCCGGCTTTTTTGACAGTAATCAATCTATCAATCAGCGAAATATATTTCTCAAAATGGTGCTGATATCTCATTCCGTCTGTTTACATGGTTGTTTGTTTGTTGTCTGTCTGTCTGTCTATCTATTCATCTTTTTGTGTCCATGTTTGTGTCTGTGTCTGTCTGTCGACTAACCAATGATTGGTGAGTTCATCCTCGTTGAATAAATAATCAGTAAATCAACAGATAGCACGCGCGAAGATAAACGACAGCTGCACAAACACACACCCACATACAAAAATACATGCAAAACATCACGTCCGAAGAGTTGAACGAATTGGAAAAAACAACATTTAAAAATTTTTTTTGTCGGTTTCACATATTATCAGTCACAAATATTATTATCGTGTGAATGTTGGATACATCAATGTGACAAATTGATTTATATCAACTCAATAAATTGTTGTTTTTATTTGAAACCTACTGTCAAGATGAGTAAGTTAAGTTGTCGATCAATAAAATCAATTGTGAAAATCGATATTTAGCAAAGCGAATGATTTTTTTAGGGAATTTACCACCAGGCTGTACAATTAGATATTATTATGGTTCCCTTGGGTTCCCAGTGGAATACAAGGCTTCCATCGGGGCAGATCTCCGTTCTGTCCTGTTTTCTTATATCTTCCTTAGTCGACTGGTCCAATGACTGCTCATGGTCCGTTATCTCCATCGCTTTACCGAAAGAGGAAAACGAATTCTCTGAACTACATGTGTGAATGGGATTAGTAATGAATAAAAGTGCTAGAATCAAATGACAGACAGCTATTAGAAACTTAAGTAAGTTAATAAATAAATTCCCTGAGGTTCCTTCTGTAAATTATGAGATCAGCCGGGGCAAATCTCCATTTCATTCTGCTCTTTTCATTAATTCTCTTAAGCTGGCGATCTGATCAATCTCTTCCATATCGTCTTTCGGAGTCATCTCCAACCAGTCGATTCTCACTCACGGGCTCATATGACATGCGACGATTATCAATTTCTCTTCAATGCGTGTCCTATCCCATCTTTCTTCTGAATCTTCGTTGCCAGAGTAGTTTGCTGTTGATTCTTTTTACCCAGCTGATCTTCAGTACTTCAGTGAATGGCGTTGGTTGAAAATGCTTTCTATATTATGTGTTTCAAGTCTCTGAATCATCTAGAAGTAGTGACCGGCTTGTTGAAAATTCAAATTTCGTTCGGTTACTCGAGCACAGTCGACTTCCGTACTCATTTCAGATTAACGAGAGCTAAGATTGATACAAGTCAAATCGGTTAGAGAACCATTAGAAAACCTGAGAGTACTGGATAGCTGTTTCGTCCTAGTTTGGGACTCTTCACGGTACGTACCCACTGCCAGGGTTCGAACCCAGGACCTTCTGGTTTCAAGGCGAGCTCGTAGACAATTAAGCCACTGGGACCCGAACCAATGGCTCATGAATTCCAACTTCTACCAATTCACGATATAGCGCAAACTAGGACGAAACAGCTGTTCAGTACTCACAGGTTTCCCAATGGTTCTCTAACTGATGTCAGCTCATGATGAAATCTTTTAACCAGTCAACCAAATCCCTATAAACCAATACTTGACAAATCAAATCCTTCTCCACTACAAACTAACTCTTGAAAACTTACTCTTCATTGGAATCGTAGAGACGAAATGACGCTGACTGGTGAAAGCATTTCGAGAAACCAGTTAGCCAACCAACCGAGAAGTGTATTTTCGTTTTGATGGAAGCAGAAATATGCCAGATGGGGACGGGAGTCATGAAATGTCTACACGATGTCTCAGCCTGCCTGCATGAAAAAGCTTCTCGAAAATTTGCGCAAATAAATCATAAGGTGTGTTTAGAATAGAAGTGTTCAGAATCTGTGACAGTGGATCGATTCACCGAATTTCATTCTCCACATTGTTAGCTGAATTTAACATCAGTAATTCAGACATCTGCTTGGCAGATCGATGAGTAACATCACACACCAACGACGCCATCCCTTGAGTGTGGCAGTAAAATAGGAAATGGCGAATCGGGCGTTTTGAGGCCGAGTTTAGTGATGACATGTAGGAGATCATATGGTGATGCGAAAGGAGAAGAACATATTGGTAGTCGTGAATTCAACCAAAGAGATCTACTGCCTGATGAAGAGGGCAGGATGATATGCAGTGGTGACTCGTGGTCATATCCATCCACTCTAATCTGAATGCCATGAAATCAAGAGAAATCATAATTTTTAAATCGCGGAGTAAAAGTATGCACAAGATTTCATGCTAAACGTCTTGTTTTTATCGTCTTTCTATAAAGAATATTAGACTTCTCCGAATTGCCTTCGTTTCATTCTATATTACGTAACAGAATGAAAAATAACAATTCAATATAGGTCACACGCGAATTATGCTCATGCGAAGTTATCGATAATCAGCGAAAGTAGTTTACTAGTTCACTAGTCAACTTAGCATGTGTGACAAAAAGTTGATATGATTATGAGCAATAGTTTGTGCTCGAAACGTCCCCAGCTAATATTACTGTACAACACTGTGTGATTTATCAAAATAAGATCTTATCCGTGATGGGCTAACGAGACTGTCGAGTGAAATGAGACGCTGCAAGTTGTCATGTAAAAGTCGAATGAGAAACGACGATGACGTGTTGGGTATTGATTTACCTGAGTGTGACATAGAGAAGATCCCGATAACAGGAGGACATAGGTGTCTATGGGCAGTGGTGGAGCCAGCCAGCCAGCTAAAGAGGGTTGCACAAAATAGTAATAGCTTTGCTTCAGACAGCACTTTTGGTATAATTATGGAATTTCCAGCATGCAGTACGGCATAAAATCTAACTTCCTGATGACATAATACAGGGATTATCACTTCTGTTTTACATTCATAATATTGTCCAATGCGAATATGAGCATAAAATTTAAGCGAAAATAATAATATCATAATAATAAAGCGAATAAAAAAAGCCGTTTACAAAATGTTTCTCAGCAATTTAGTATTACACTGCTTTACATACGTTTCTCATCACACATTAAATGCTCGCCTGTCAAATAAGATATTTTTGAGTTTCTATACTTGGCTGTCCGAGCATATGTTCTCCTGTAATCGCCTCTAGTCCCACCTACCAGATGAGATACATGCAGGCGTGGAGAGAGGGCTGTATATAGAGAGGATGCTCAGAGTCTATCCGACAAAATAATATTTATTAATTTCTTGCAGTTATCCTTGTGTCCACTATCTGCAACAGTATTACCACAAGCTGGTTTAGCATCAGCAATCCATTTTCTCTAGTGATGGCTTATAGTACCTGTCGCGGTGTAATATAACAGTCTTTCTTGAGTAGCTGTGGAATGAATAATTGGCGAGGAGCAGTGAAAAAGGATAGAAAGAATACGAGAACTAACAAAGTGTAAAAGCAGAGATTGACTTGTTGGTCCTAGGTTATCTTAACTTCCTTACTTTTGGAACGTTAAACGAAACAGCATCATTCTGGAAACTAACCTAAATGAGAAGATCAGAAAACATGATCACGGGAATAAACAGTTCAAAGTATTTGACATTCGATTTCGTTTCAAATTCTGTGGCACATAAGATAGTAGAATAACGAGAATAAACCAGTTCATACAAGTCGTGCATACGTTTGAGAGTGAAATTAACAAACGTTGACGAAATGAAGATGTTGAATTAGTTATGTTGTCGTCCTTCTAGGCAACATCTTCGGCGTAGGTGCCCTTAGCTGAAGCTCTATATTCTACTCTGAACCTAATAGAATAAGAATAAGAAGTCTTAAATGATGTAACTGATTTCCAAGTTTGATTACATATTTATATTACAGTTAAATATCGATTAAGAATTCCTCACCAGTAGTAAGCACTCTATCATTGTTGAGGGCTGTCAAGTTAAATACCTTCCATCGGTTACTGTATTTCATCCTCACCCCCATTGAATCGGGTCCCAATAGGTTGTGTGTATAACGAGAAGGTCTTGGGTTTGAACATCCTGTGGTTATTCCAAAACTAGAATGGGAAGAAACAGCCAGATATCCAGTACTCCCTACCATTGTATTTCCAATGTTTCTCTGACGGATATTGTCAATCTGTGCTCATAAATGAAATAAATTAAGAATTTATTAAGAAAAATAAAACCATCAAAAATGTTTTTCTACTAGTAGAGAAAGGCGTGACCAATTGTTCGATCCACGTGTGACCCCGTTTTTGGTGATTTGTTATTGTCGGCTTGTTTACGTTCTAAATATTAAGTTCAAAAAGCCATGACATTCTCAAGAAATAACAGTTTTATCAATTGAAATTTATTGATTGTTCAGTAATGTATATATAAACAATCCTTTGTTTAAACATGCGTCTCAGTCAACTTTGCTATGTAGATTCATCGCGTTAGGTGCAAATGATACTGACTCAATAAACTAATATTGTTAGATGACTACTGAAAGTAATCATTACATGGGCTTGAAGTCTTTTATGGGGCCTAGATTTCATGCTTGTCGACAAATTCAGCAGCCAGAAAAACGTAAACTGCGACCCCTTGAAGGGACTCTTATACTATTTTCTAGGATTCGAACTCGGGTCACCAGGATAGCAGGTCATTGGCGAGGTTGAATAAGTCAGTGCTACCGTATCTCTGATTGCAGGACTGCATTGGGTGATGTGGTTTCGAATTTTCCAGTGAAAGAGATGACATTGGTTGCATCAAGATTTTGGCATACACAAGCCTTACTGACTCAATGACTGATTGATTTGCGTTAACAAACATGAATTCCAGGTCCCAGTAGGGCTTCCTAATGACCATCTCCTACAATTTAACGATGTTCAGTGCAAAATTGTTATTGTTATTGTTCCCTCGGGTTTTGAGTGGAACATAAGGCTTCAACCGGAGCACATCTTCACTTTGAACTGCCCTCTGCTGTCCTCCTCAGCCGGTCCTAAAATCACCCATAGGCTTTCGTCTCTTGCCGCCTACACGATCTCTTCCATGCCATCGTCAAAGCGACGCCCAGCTCGTTGTTCCCTAGTCGGGTTCCACTTGAGTACAGGTCTGGCAGGATGTCAGGTCTC